TAAATGATACTAAATTACATGAAAAATATTACAGATATTTTTAAATATTATTTTGCCATTAAATTCTGTACACACCCAAATTGCACCTATTAAGTCCACCAATTAAATACTAATAATGTTCTATCAAGTGTGTTAAATCAACGAACAGTAGTAATTAAATAATTAAACTTCAAAATAAAATACAGTAGTTCTCGACAGAAACCCCCTTTTTAGTGAGGAATTATGATTGGTAAGCCCATTTTCCTAAGGTAATATGATGTAGGCCAAATATTAGAGAAGTTGAAATTTTATGTGACTCTTATGATACCAATCAATAAAGGATGAAAAGGAAGGAAGACACAGTGTCACATTCTCAAAAAGTAAATCTGATATAACAGAAAGCAGGCTTAATTTTGAAAATATTGTTGATTTTTATAAACTTAAAGCAATAAGTAGAAACAAAATTTAATGGAAGGGAATGTTTGAAAAATTATTTCTGTAATGTAAAATATAGCTGTGACTTATCAAAATTTATATTGTGTCTGCCTAAAGTTTAATAATAAATTATGATACTTAAAAGCATATGCCGCAGTAGTAAAGCTGTGGGCTTCCAATTGAAGAAATCTGTATACCTGTCTGAAGCTCTGTGTGTTACACTCAGCATTGTCTCTTTCTACTACATATTATAAGTTAGTACCTGGTAGGTTTGAATTACATTGTGCTGATCTAGAATGGGGGTGCCTAATGGGTATGATTAGGTGAAGATGCACTAGCTTGCAAAATAACATGGTTTTTAAATAATTGAGTGCGATTTTTCTGCTTCAAACATTTTCAATGGGGTGGCAAACTTTTATATGGGGGAGGGATGCATCTTCCCCTCGTGCATGCCCCCTATATATGCCACTGTCCGTAGGTGTTTGATCCATCAACAGGGAGGACAATGTGAATGGCATAGTATGCATGATGACTGACTAATTTTAAAATTTGTTTACCAGAAGAATCTGATGAAGAAGACAATGAAGGAACAGACTCAGGAGGAAGCAACCAAGATGTGGAGGAGTCAGAAGAAGATGAAGAGGAAGAAGATAATGAAGTAGATACTGATGATGATGAAGTAGATATGGATGAAGAAGAAGAGGAAGGAAGTGATGATAATGATGAAGCAAGTGATGAAGAAATTAATAGTAGTAACAAACAAAAGTTTTCAAAGTCTGGAAATAAGTCAACTTTCCAAAGGAAAAGTGATGTCTCAGCGGGCAAAACAGTATTTGTCAGGTAAATATTAAATAACAATAGATATTAATAAATCTATAGACTGTATACTGTATTACCAAATCACAAAACTTTAAATTTCAGTATGTTTACATTAAAAATGGATGAAGATGTTTGTTATTAAGAATAGCTTGATTATGTTAAAATTAACTTCCAGGAATATTCCATTTGACATCAACTCAGAAGACCTTCAAGAATTCTTTGAAGACTATGGAGAAGTAAATTACTGCAGACTTGTTGTAGATCCAAACACAGAACGTCTTCGAGGTAAACCACCTTTAATTATTTTTTTAAATCTTTATCATATTCTATGATTATTCTCATATCAGTTATTTTCCTTTGTAATTTTAATCCACATTTTCCCACTCACTAACTTTTTTCTCTCTCTGTCCCTCCCTCTCCACCACTTTTCCACTTTTTTTTAACAATTTCCTTACTCATTCTCTAAATATATCATTCACATCCCCTTATTTACTCTTCCGCTCCCTCATTTATTCTTACACCTCACTCACTTTTTCCTGCACTCATTTTCTTACTCTTGTTTTCTTCATTCTCTATCCCCCTCACATAACACACAACATTTCTCATTTCCTATTTTGTCTAATTTTTACTTGCAATTTTCCTTTATTTTTTTTTTCGTTTCATCTTTTTACATTCCCTCATTTTTAGTAGCATGTTTATTTTCATATTTTCTAGGATCTGCTTTTGTTCAGTTTACTTCACAAGATTATGCTGAGGAATGTATTGCTACATCAGAAACAGTAGGTTTATTGTATAATGTAATTTCATTGTGTGTGCAGTAACTAGGTTGTTGTATAAACTAATAGAGCAAATCAATAATGTGAATCTTTTATAATTATTTAATTTGTAATTGAAGTACAAGAATGTATGTATACTGTATATACACTCTTTTTAGTAATAAGAAGTTCTCTAGTTCAAACTGAAGTACTGTAAATGTTTATTGTTTTAATTTAAGTAAATTATTCAAGGAAATGCATTTGATATGCCTGTCTTGCCTGATCCTCAGTTGTTGTACTTAGATTGCTCTCTCAGGAGCATTAGACTTTAAGCTGTTAAGACTTCAATCGCAGACTTCCATTTGTACAACAGTCTTGTGTCTAAAAATAACTGTTTTATGTTGGCAAACCTTGTTTATGTTTCCCTGACAGAACATAATTTACCATTTTCACAATTTCATAAAAGGATTTTCTTCAATTTGCCTATTGGCTTTACATGTGTTTGCTGGACAGAAAAACTATGCTTGATAATTATTCTGTTTCTTTTAAATTTGGATTTTTTACACTGTATAACTTGACTCTCAATGCTTTTTTTTACAAGATCACTAACAGAATAAACAGATCCTAATTGAACATTTGTGTACACATATTGAAATCAAATGAACTTTAGCCAGCCATTAAATCTCTTAATTTTGCACTAACATGTAATGCAACATATATAAAAATTCCCATCTCTACTACAAAATGATTATCTAATTAGCCATAATCTAAAATTAAATAATTTAAAAGATTCAAAATTAAAAAATTTCAACTCAAAAACTAATACAAATTGCTTCATATAAGTAATGTTGATCAAGAGTTATTTTGATAATTTCAATCTTAACTATTTACAAAATTATTTATAAATTTAGACAACTGAGTTTCTTTCACATCAAGACTGGTATTGATGTAAACAGTAAATAAAACATAATTAAAAAAATGAAACCAATAAAATCAGAAATCATGTTACATTGCTTGACCTATTTCTGTCTTTTGATAAGGAAAGTGGAATTGTTTTCAAGAATCGAAGACTGCAACTAAATCTAGCGCTTAGTCGAGAAGAGGCAACTAAACTGAGGACTCAAGAGAAAGATAAAGAAAAGGTTAAAAATAAAGACAAACGTAATCTCTATCTTCTTCGTGAAGGAAGTAAGTCATCAGAAATTGGTGTCATCAGTGAAGTTTAGGTTGAAGGATATTTATCTGCTTGTTCATGATAACTGCTATTAATCAAGTACATTAAACCTTTTTCTTATATAATATAAAAATATATACATAATGTTATATAAATAATAATGCCAAGACCTGTCAATGCCCAATAAATTATGCAGTATATGTACATCTATATGTATTAAAAAATATATATATATAATATGTATAAAATGTTGTTTTATATTGTAATGATGTATAAATACATAATTGTTATGAATTGTGAATACATATGTAAATATTAGTACAGCATAAGATCACTGTATAATAGGAGAGAAAACGAAAAATTGAAAATCATGAAAAAAAGAGGACAAATAATAATAATATGTCGCTCTTATATAGCGCTTCATGCACAATGCCTCTAAGCGCTTCACATTACTACCCCGGTCATTGGATCAAACACATATGGAACACATGCTCAGCTCCCTGGAGAGAATTCCATAATATTACAGCTAGTAATCAGCACAGTTGTGTTCGAACCTACCAGGTACCCACTTGTACTCCTGGGTGGAGAGAGGCAACCGTTGTAGATAAAGTGCCTTGCCCAAGGACACAAGCGATTTGCACAACGAGAGTTTCGAACCCCCAACCTCGAAGTTGGGAGTCCAAGCCCTGTCTCTTATACACATCTAGATGTGTATAAGAGACAGGTATATATATGTATACAATGTGTGTGTATTGAACTATAAAGCAACAATGAAATTATCAAGAAAGAAGCTTCAATGTTATAGTTTCATTAAGGAAAATGTTATAAATTGATCTGCACTCTTCATGCCTCGTAATTATAATTTTCTATTACATCAAAGATTTCTAAATGATCAGCTGTACTAGATTATGATATAGTAAACTTTTTGTTTCAGTGATTCGTCCGGGAACACAAGCAGCCGAAGGATTATCTGAAGCGGAAATCAGGAAAAGAACAAATCTAGAAAAAATTAAACGCATCAAATTAAAGAATCTGAATGTGTTTGTATCGCCAATGAGGTTGGCAGTGCACAATTTACCGGTGTCGGTGGATAATGCAAAGTTAAGGAACATCTGTGTCAAAGCAATTGGACAGCAGAAAAACACTATTACAGAAGTTAGTGCTTATGTTATCATTATTCCTAATTTCATATTCCTCGTAGAAGTATTTTAACAACTATACCCCTTTCAGACAGACCTGTAAAACGGTATTAATACTGTATTACTCGAACGCCGGCATTCTATGTGAAAGGGTAAATACGCCTAAACGCCGGCTTCAGTTAGACCTCCTCGGGACCTAGTCTTAATACCGCATTAATACCGTAGCGAGTTTTGCCCAACTCGATGTAAAAGGGTACAGGGTTCATCGCCGTCTTACGCACTGAGGCATAACAAATCAGACGGTCACACGAGCAGCAATCAACCGCTGCTGCAGCTACTAACAAAGCCGATGAAATCGCTAGCTGACGGTTCTTTTAGACACGAAAATCGTCTGCACCTAGCTGCTTGAAATTCAAGCCGGCCTCGCCTTAAACGCTTCCTAAATTCTTTTTTCACTTGAACAAAATGCATTAGAAACCTTCTGTTTCTCAATATATATTGCAAACATAGCAAGCATTAAAAAAATTTGGAAAGCAGCAGTTTTGTGACTTCACCCCCGGCCATATTGGATTAATGGAGTAAACAAAAACTTGCTCCCTTTTTGTTAACAAACACAAGCGCCACAGACATCAAATACTCCTTTCCGCGAGAACCCTTTCAGACAGGATACGGTATTATTACCGTATTTTAACTAGCTGTGTGAAAGGGTCTGCGCCGGCAATAACGGCGGCGTGATTAGGGTATTATTGCGGTATTTTCTGTCTGAAAGGGGCTCTAGAGTGCTAACATTGCAATGAACCAATGGAAAGTATCGGTACTCTCCAAGAGAGTAACATAAAGGCCTAGTATTACAACCAATTAATAACACTAATAAATATTATAAGTCAATTGTGATGTCATCACTGCAACTCCCAATGTTATTTGCCTATCCCCCACAGTCCAATAATTTTTCAATTGTGGACGTTTGGCTTGATTTTTTTAGGTTCCTGTGCAAAAAAAATATCGTCACTGCGAAGAGATTGTGCACTGCACCGCGATGAAAATTGAATTGCAGTTGAAAATTACTTTCGTAAAACAAGGGTAATTAGAACCCGAAGAAAGTTACTTCAAATTTCAATATTAAGTATGAACAATTAAGGATTTCCTTGAATCAATGTAGCCTAATAAACTAAACAAACTGAACGTTTAATAGGAATATTCTAGACTTATTTTAAAGACTCAATGAACGAAATTAAAAGTAGGGCTAGAACTACGGCCAGGTAGGAGGCTGCTAAGGCCTCCTCCTACACCATACGAGCAATTGTAGCCTAGCGTGGTTATGAAATCATCGCACAATTTTTACCTGTCTGCACTGACCAAAAAGTCTGTGAATGTACTGTATTCTCTCTCGAATGCTTTGACAAATATTTTTTTTTTTTGATGAATGTCTATAAAAATAGCATTACAAATTCTTTTAACAAAATACAAATTACAATATTAATTCATCGTATCCGTACTGACAGTACTGCTGATGTGTAGTTAACGCGTAGTGCAGGAGCACAAAATGGCATACGCACAGCTAAATGTAAATACACACACACAGTACTATCACTATAGCAACCGATGACTGCTACAACACTTAGTTATCAAAACTAACATTAAAAGACGGCGATTGACTTGTAAAGCAATTAGTAGAGCATGCATCGTACACTAGCGGAAAATTATTATACTTAGGTTAGATTTAATGCATTCACAAATTTTTTCAAGCATTAAATCTAAACTTTGTATAATAATTTTCCTATAGTTTACTATGCGGGGGCTCTACTAATTGCTTATTAGTTCCTATGCATGTAATGCAATAGGAACTATTGTAATCACTCTTGCTATTTCCTATGTTTTTTATTGTGTGTAGTGTGTATGTGTGTGTGTAGACATTTATGGGTTATTATTATTATTAATGTTTTTTTTACTATTATTTTGATTATGATTATTATTGTTATTAGTATGGTTATTGTTATTATTATTATTATTATATTTATTATTACTATTGTATTGTTATTATTTTTATTGTTGTTATTAATTTGAGGCCCAATGCCAAAGGTATGCCAACAGTGAAGTTAATCACTAAAAGTGGCAATCCTTTACAAAAACATACAACAAAGATGTTCTAGATAATCTAACTGCCTTATGAGTAACTGATTTAAAAATGAAGTACAACCTCATGATTATTACCTTCAGTTACTTTTTGTATTATGTTGAATATCCTGTTCTTTCTTACAGGCCAGAATCATGCGAGATTTAAGTCGTAAGAATTCATCTGGTGTTTGCAAATCTTTGGGTTACGGATTTGTTAGCGCAAACAATCATGAAAATGCCCTCAAACTCTTAAATTATTTGAATAATAACAGTGAAATCTTTGGACCCAAAAAAGTAAGTATCTCTGTCTTTTTTTTTTTAATAGATTGCATTGTATTTGTTATAACCCATAGGATTTGATATTTATATCACTTTGTGAATAATACCATTTGCAGTAAATCAATGTTTTTACGACCTCTCTGTCAGTTGTATTCTGTTTGACATCGTAGAGGTGACAGTTTTAGGACAATGTATGATAATGAAATCAAAATTATGAACTAAGTGATTTGTTTTAGATACCAACCATTTATCACTCACACCACTCCTGGCTCTGAGATTTCTTCCAATAATGAGATATATAATAATGGAAAATGTAATGAATATATATACATAATTGATGTTAACAATAAACTTAATGATAAGATAATGCAAAGAATTTATGATTCCCTGTAGGACTTTATTGTGATGTTATAGTATTGATGATATAGTAAATAATAGTTGCAATATCATATGTGATATTAATGTTGTCATTAGTCATAGCTTGATGTCATATCTCTGATGTTGATGATGTCATAAATAATGTTTTTATGTCATATGATATTGATGTCATAATAATAATTGGAATGATGATACGACTGTTCTATTAATGTAGTAATTGAGTTCACGAACTAAACAAATCTGGTTATTTCATCATATTGTTTTTGTATAAAGGCATCTTCATAGTGACATTAAATTTTGTATACCCATTAAGCACATTAAAACATGCAAGTTATATGATCAGTAGAAATAATGGGAAAGCCACTTAGGTAATAGCTCTTTTTTGAAATGAATTAATGGTTGAGCAATTTTCAATTATACAAATGCTGTGAGATTAATTTGGTTGGTAGTTTATGGACCATTTAGATCTGTTCTTTATTATTTTACATTCTACCGTGTATATCTGTAGCAGCATTATCATTGTTTATCAAAAGTGAAATGATTCAAAATCCAAAGTAGATAATTCATTAATCCATTAATAATCTTTTACATATTCGTCCTATAATCTCTCATTACTGTTTCAGATCATTTAGATCTGTTCTTTATTTTGTTAGCTGCTGTCATGTAAACCCATCTATATTTAATCAGCATCATCATTATACAGTAATTCAAAAGTAAAATGATTGAAGATCAAAGTAGATAATCTGTGAATCCATTAATAATGTATTAGATAATTGATCTCTTAATCTCTTATTACTGGTACTAGTCAAGCCACAAAAGAACTGGCAAATCCTGACGACCATCCATGAAAGAAAACGTACATGGTAAATAAAATCCCCTTGTGTATGTGTATGTGGATGACCAGAGGTGTAAAAATATACAACACCATCAATAAGAATTCTCTTGGCAATGTTTATAGGTGGGTAAGGAGGAAGAGGTAGGGGGTTAATATAGAGGGAACAGGCACTGTAATACCTAACGTTATCTTCCTCCTGACCACACATTAACATTGATTATTAAGTAACTCATAAAACCTTAAATTTCTATCTTTCGTGTCATTCCTAACATCTGTTGTTATAGATCAAGTAGCTAATTTCTGTTGTGCAATTTAAGTACCATGTTTCACAGCCTGTATGCCTTTGTTAACATGCTAATTAGATTGAATTATAACAGATAATATTATCGAAATGTGATGAGTACGTGAATTAATAACACTTTCTTCAATTTCGACAGCCTCCATACTTTTTTACAAAAATGTTTATATCCTTCAGTAAAGTGAGGGATGTTTATTTCAGAGATGATATTATTTTCATGTTCTGACATTTTGACAACCTTAACATGAAAATTCATATGGTCTTCTCTACTGCACATTATTTTAATTATCATGTTTTTGAAAACACCTTTTAAAATTTTGCTGGTGTTGAATGTTCAGATGGTAGAATGTTCAGATGGCAGATTATTGGGTTCCTAATTAGTCTGGGTGTTGATTAGTTTAGCTGTTCATTTTTTTTTACCAAATTAGGTGAACTTTAGCGATGTTAATTTGGATTAATCACACAATAGGAAGCAAGGACGACATGTAAACAATGTTGAATCATATGGCTATCGGCAGATTGATTTGCCATTTACCCAGGATCAGGACACAATTGTTAAAGTCCATTACAAATGAAGAATGAATGAAGTTGAAGAATATATATAATAGAGCTTGTCTCCAGAGTAAACGATTCTGTTCTCAAATACTGTATGTCAACTCTCTTCTGTAAACATGTCATCAGATTTATCATATGACTTTTAATATGATATGCTAAGTCAATGCCTATTGCTGATGTATTAATTCAAACATGCATTAATGTTTTTATGCTTGTTAAAATGTAAACATTCTGAAACCTTGTGCCTGATTGGCTGAAATGCAACACATAGCCACATTTACATTTAATTACCATTAGAATGTTCTATACTGATGCATTTTTGATTGAGTCAAAATAATATCATAGGAGTGATGTTTTGAGATACGTCAGACAGGGCAAAACATCACGCCTATCATAATATGTATGTCATGAGAAAGACACTTTAATTGTGTATTTTGATCGTTTGATTCAATGCATATGAATTTGTCTCCAGTCATTTTACAGTATTAATGTGATTTACTATAATCTTTACTTTCTAAAAAACAGGAAATGCAGCTGTGTATTAGAAAGTATTTGCCAGGAAGCTACAGTACTTAAACATTAATAATCATGTACCTTAATATAATAATGCAATGTATTTTTAATAGTAAAAATAATATAATTATATAAATGAAATTTAGCTTGCATCCAGTTGTGTAAGAAATCAGTAACTTTTTTTTTTGAACAAAGGATTTTAACTTGTTGATTAGCAAATTTACTAAAAAAAATAATAAATAAACAGAAAGTGGATAGTTATTGAGACACGTTGAATCCTTTTGTAACCTCAATGTAAGGGGAAAATTTCTCTAATTATAAATATTTATATAATATTTATTTTTTAGCGTCCAATTGTTGGATTTTCTTTAGAAAACCGAAGCGCCCTTGAACTGAAAGAGAAAAGGAGGCAGAAATCAAAGGTGAGTTGAAATATGGAGCACTGCTAATCTTAATATATCATTGCTAAATTCCTTATTTTGCAAGAATTTATCTATATTATATACTCCAGCATATAAGATATAAATCATTCTCTATTGAATTAATCTGTTTACTTAAGAAGATAATAGCATGCAAGTATAACAGCATAACCATTGTACATAATACGAATTGAAACAACAAGGATGTGATTTTAAAATATAATATGGTATTTTCAGAAAAGACATTTCAAAAAAATACAACTAAATTTACACAAATTAATGTATCTTTGAAAGATATTTTTAACATTTTTAAACTATATCTATAGCCTTTTCAAAATGTTAACACATTTGAAAATCTTTGTGACTTCATATTTAGTTTTTAAATTACTTTTTTTTTTAATGTCAAATATATTCTTAAAATTTTTAAAATATATTTATAGTCTTTTCAAAATATTAACACATTTGCAGTTTAGAAAAATTTGAAAATACAAATTCTTCATGATTCTGCAAATTTAGTTTTTATATTACTACTTTTTTAAATGTCAAATATTTATCATACTCCAAAGATGTGTAAAATAATAATATAGATGTGCATACTTATACAAATCATATCGTAAAAATTTCATTTTGCTTGTTTTTTTTGTAAAGAGTATATCCATGGAGAAAATAAAGAAGAACGTAGATGATGTTAAACATAACCCCTCGAGTGCTAAAAAACAAAAAGCTAACACGGCAGTTACTAGGAATTTAGAAGACTCAACATTTGTTGAAAGAAAACTGCAGGCTAAGAAGCAGGGACTTCCAAAACACTTTGGACCAAAAGAACGATGGAGGGATAGGGGGAAGCAAGTAAACAAAAAGAAAATAAAACAACTTTCTGGTTCAAAGTTAGAAAAACCAACAAATCTAGAAGAGAAGCAGAACAAGAAGAAAAAAGTAAAGGTAAGCAAAAATCTTTCTTTAAAAAAAAAAAACTAATTCAATATTTGAAATTATAAAACTTCGGGAAATAAAATGAAATGTATTTTTTTATAGAAGCCTTCAAGCTCAAGACGTAACAAAGGCAAAGATGAGGACAAAAATTTCAACAAACTTGTAGAAAGCTACAAAAAGAAGATATCTGATGTAACAAGAGAGAGAAAAGTTACAAGCAAATGGTTTGAATGAAGTACAGTACAACAAAATACAATTGAACATTTAAACACTTGTTTAATGTGGGTTACTACCATGGAAATTACTTGTTCCAGGTTGGTCACCATGTTGGTAGCTCATGCGTTTCATGGTCATCACCATGGTGATGGCTAATATCTTTGTTTCATCACCATGGTGATGGCATACCATTTCAGATCATCACCATGGTGATGCCTTATTTCAGGTTCATCACCATGGTGATGACTTGTTTCAGGTGAGCTCTTGGGAACTTAACATATGACTGTTATCTGACAGAGAAATCATATTAAGACAGGAAGTATCATTTAGGATTCTCTGAAAATATTATAGTTAACCATGTTTATCAACTAATTACACATCAATGGTACAGTATGCTGGGAATCACTACCAATGTTTATACTTCGGATCACACACCAGCCGGTGTTTATACTAGTAATTAATTGTTTGAGCAACAAGATAATGTTCATAATTGCCACCATCAACTATAACATTTTTGTTCCTCTCTGCATTACTTCCATTAACCTATGTGAAGTATGAAATGGAAGCCAATGGCTGAATTTGCATCATAATAAAGTAACAGACAGCTCCAAGTAAAAGCAAACAAATATCATGGCTTGAAAGCAGACAGATTGAAGGTTATTTGCCAAGTGCAATATTCGTCGCATACATAGTGGCATTTGTCACTTGCATTAATACTATTTCAAACAACATTGTCTGAATGAGAAAACACACAGGGAGAACAAAGGTTAGCAGTTGTATGATGATCACAAACCTAGCCATTGCTATCATAATCATCATCATCATTGTCCTCTTCATCATTATCACCATTATCATTAATATTAATAAACCACACCATTATCATCACCACCACCACCTCTATGGTTATTATCATTACCACAATCATGATTACCATAAATATCATCATGATTTTTATGATTGTCATAATCAATATCCTCAGCATCATCGTCATTATAATTATCAGGATCTTCATCATTATCATCATTTCAAATTACATACAAAAAAACACTTTCACAGAATATTTAAAAAAAAACCCAACAAATTTACGTTTATATTATTATTTATTTATATAGGTGATGATGATGATGATAATAATAAATAATGATATATTATACTTATAGAAGTGCAACATGCTGTTGCTGTGGGCAATTTAATTCGCTATTTCATCGTCACTTTAGCATCCATTCATCACAATCCACTCAGGGAGGTGTATCCACTCAACATCACCACTTCATTATGTACTAAAGTGACGTCACAGCTATTTCCGACAAGAACAGTTCCACCATTCTATTCAATTCATAAAAATTGATATCGCCATACACAACCAGTAGCAACTCAATGAAATTATCACAGGCAATTACTACTAGTATAACATCATTAAAAACATAATTTTACAGATATTTTTAAATGCTTGTTTATTAAAATACAGTATAGTGAAACCTTAATATTGATATGAGTTTAAGGAAAAATTACAGACAATAAAAGGTTAACTGAAAACGGTTTCGTTTCTGTGTGAATGATTGTAAATTGTCGTGAAATTGTTATATTTTATGGTCCATGAAACAGTTGCAGCATACCTCCAGTTTGCAACAATCCAAAATTCTTTTAATTATGGCTGCTTTTAATGTATCAATTACCAATCTCTGTCGGTAGATATCAAAGGAACACTACTTTTGCATGAAATGCGTTCAGGCAGAATTGTCTATTACAACTAAAGTATTTGATAATAAAATATCGTATGTGATAAGTTTACTAATGCATCGCGTTACATTTCGTTTGAAATAATGTTTTGTGAATTACATAAACAGCTGCTTCATGTTGTTCATGCTGGCCCCTTCACCCTCATTCAGTGTGACTGTTATCATCATTCATTAGCCTTGCATAAACGGCGAGTGCGAGTTGCTTATCAATGAGTGCGTGTTTTTCTTCAGAAGAGCGTGCTTAGTTGCAAATTTGGGTGGTTGATTTTTCCTTGGATTCCCATTCTACAATATTATTTTAATTCCTATTTATTATAAACAATTTGACTGAGGATTGTCTTGATAGACCAATAAATTTAAATGGCTGCCAACGTGTTATGCAATATAGGCCCTGTCTCTTATACACATCTAGATGTGTATAAGAGACAGACTTTTATGTTAAAAAAAGATAATTTATTCTAGGTCACG